CCAGGCATGGGGGGGGATGGACATGGGGGGCAGCCAAAGAAAATGCCTGCAGCCACAGGATGGAGAGTTTTGTTTGTGGAAGACAAGGATGCCAGCGTCATCAGATTGAAGAGTTTGTGGTGGGCCTGGGGGATAAGAATATGGAAGGGTGCGGGTTGGGGGGCCTAGGTTATGGAAGGCTTTGAACGCTAGAGGATTTTGTATCTGCTTCTGGAGGTGATAGGAAGCCACTGGAGTTCACTGAATAAGAGGGTGACATGGGCAGACTTGTGCGTTAAGAAAATCACTTTGGTGGCCGAAAAGAAGATTGGAGACTTGGGGCAGGCAGCCCCTGTCCCCAGCAGCTGTTGCAATAGTCCAAGCATGAGGTATGATGACCTAGACTAGAGCAGGGGCTGTGTCAGAGGAGGGAAGGGGCTGTTTTGGAGAGATGCTTTAGAGATGAAATCAATAGACCGCGGCTCCATGTTGGATACGGGGTGGTGGTGGTGAGAGATAGTGAGGAATCCAGGGCGACTCCCAGGTTGGGAGCCTAAGGGACTAGGAGAATGGCGTTACCTTCTCCAATAATAGGGGGGTAGGAGTAGGGGCGGATTTAGGGGGAAGGGTAAGGAGTTCTGTTTTGGATACAGTGAGTTGCAGGTGTCTGAAAAACAGTTGGAGATGCAGGACTGGAAGTCAGCAGAGACAGCAGGACCAGAAAGGGAGATTTGGGAATCATCAGCACAGAGATGGTAATGAAGTCCAGGGGAGCTAATTCTGAAGGCAGAAGAGAAGAGGGCCCAGGACAGAACCCTGATGGACACCATCACTAGAGGAAGTGATCTGCAGGAGGATCCAGCAAAGGAGACAGAGAGGGAGGAGGAGAACTGGCAGAGAGGGGTGTCCTGAAACCCTGGAGAGAAGAAAGCATCAAGGAGGAGAGAGTGATCCAGTGTCCAAGGCTGCAGAGAGAGCAAGGAGAATAAGGACTGAGAAGAGGCCACTGGTAATTCTGGAGAGGGCAATGTCAGTGGAATGATAAAGCTGGAAGCTGAAATACAGGGGTTAAGAAGAGAGTGAGAGGACAGAAAGTGGAGGCACCAATTGTAGATGGTTTTTCTGAGGAATTTAACCACAAAGGGAAGAAGAGTTAAAGGACATGGATGGAAGAATCAAGTGAGGGGTTTTTCAGGATTGGGGAGGCATAACCATGTTTGTAGGAAGCAGGGAAGGAGCCAGAAGAGAGGGAGGGATTGAAAATGATAGAGTGGGGATGACAGAAGGGGAGATCTCTTGGAGGAGCCAGGATGGAATGGGATCATTTGAGTAGGTAGAGGGGTTAGCCTTGGTGAGGAGTAAGGCTGCCTCTTCATGTGAGACAAGGGTGAAGGGGGGGAGAGGCACAGAAGGCCCAGAGTGATGGGAGATGAAGAAGAGGAGAGAAGAGGAGGCTCACAGTGGAAAGCCTCAGATTTTCAGCTGAGAGTGAGAGGAGGGGAGCCGTGGGAGTTTTGGAAGAGCTGCTGTGGAAAGTGGAATAGGGAGCTGATAAGGGAGGTGTAGTGGGATTGCCATGCAGCAGTGAGGGCCCAAATCGGGCTGTGTCACACAGCATTTCTACAGACCCAGTCAGAAAGGTTGAGTGATTTCCTCCCCCTTTGTTCAGCAGCACATGTGTAGGTGCAAAGGAGATAAATGGTGGGCTTGTCCCAAGGATGAGGCTTGGCTGGATGTCGTCATAATTATATTCAGCCAGATAAGAGGGGGAGGGACTCCAGGGAAAACAACAATGTAGAGTTCAATTGGTTCTCCAAGAGGTGGAGATGGGAGAAAGAGAAGAATTGGCTAGTGTAGGGGAGATGGCTTGGGAGAGAACCGATTGGAGGTCATGATGTGGGCAAGGAGCAGAGTGTGGCAAGGGAAGACAGGAGAGATGGAAAGCCAATAGATCATGGCTGGATAAGGGGATTTCAGAATTCTTGACCATGATAGAGCAACAAAGTACTTTCCTATAGGTCAGAGGGAACACCTCAAGTGTTTTGGTTTATTTTGATTAAAAGAATTCACCTACCAATTAATAAACACTGATTAAAGGCCTACTATGTGTCAGGTACTGTGCTAAGTGCTGAGAATACAAAAAGAGGCAAAAGACAGTCCCTGCCTTTAAAGATCTTACAATCTAATGGCCACCATTAGCTACCATATTGTACAGCTAGGTGGCACAGTGGATAGAGTGCTGGGCCTAGAGTCAGGAAGACCTAGTTCAAATCTGGCCCCAAACACTTACTAGCTGTGTGACCCCGGGCAAGTCACTTAACCTTGTTTGCCTCAGTTTCCTCATTGGTATAATGAGCTGGAGAAGGAAATGGCAAACCACCGCAGCATCTTTGCCAAGAAAACCCCAAATGGGATCATGAAGAGTTGGACAGGACTGAAAAACGACTGAACAGCTACCATATTGGCTAATGATGCTTGTAATTAACCCAGCTGTTTCACACCTTCTTTTATGGCCTCTAATCTAAGGGAAATGAAGTAACTCATGTAAGGCAGAGGTATCAGAGGACACCTGCTCCAAGGGAAAGAGAGGGGACATATGTCAGAGGACTTAGGTTCAAATCCCTGCTTGGTCGCTCTATGTGACCTTGGGCCAATAACTGCACTCTCAGGGCTTGTTTCTCTTTCTGTAAAATGAAAGGGTTGGATTGGATGACCTTTGGGTCTCTTACAGTTCTCCATTTATAATCCCACAAATATATTTCCTATGACATTTCAGGCTGGAGATGATGAGATGTATACAATGCACACAAAACTTTTCCCAGGCAGAATTCCCAGGTTCCTCCAATTCCACATGGTTCATTGGACGCCTTCTTATGAGGGCCATAGAACTGAGAGTCCGGGGATCACCCAACCACCTCATTTTATTGTGTGACAAGCACCTGAGTTGGTATGTTATTGTCCTACTAGGCTGTGGGCCTCTCCAGGAGGGGGTTCTGTCTCATCCTGAATCTGTGCCTCCCCCACCCCCCCTGCCTAGAGCATTGCTCTCAACATGTGTGCTAAATGGTGGTTTTATTGCATTGCTACATTTGGAGATGTCAGCTAAGACCCGGGAGGTGAAATAACTTACCCAGGTACTAAGTTTGAATTAGCATTCAAACCCAAGTCACCTCACCCCTGAACTTGTACACTTCCCTCAAGATTATATGTTAGACTGGATTCCAAGCTCCCTGGGGGCAGAAGCCACGTCAGACTTTCTGAGGGAGAATAAACAAAAGGAGTTAGCGTAACTTGTTTCTTTCCTTGTACTTGAATTTCCAGAGCGCAGCACCAGGATGGCACTTGGAAAGTGCTGAACCAATGCTTGGTTGATTTATCGATGAAATAAGCCTATCCTTTGAGTAGAGCAGGCCCCTGGGAAACCGAGGCACTGCACTGCTTAGCCAAGAGTTCCCAGGGCTAGCGTCTCTCAGCAGACATTTGCAGACCTCGGCCTGCCGTCTTCACCAGTCTGCAAAATGAGGAATCTGGAGGAGATGATGTCGACTCCTTCAGCTCTAAGATTACTGACTGCCCAAACTATGGAAGCAAGATCCGATGAGTGAAAAATAACTGAGTGATGAACGTTCAGCAGCTGTGGGTCTCTTCATAGCTGTTCCCTCCTCAAAGCATCCCTTTCTATGGGAAGACCTGCCACGGAGGAACCAAAGGGGAAGGGGCAGCCATGGTGAGTGTGTAATGAAGGAGCTGCAATTAAGAGACCCAAGAAAGGAAGAAATGATTTGCATATTCTGTGTCTGAGAGGCCAAACTGTACTGCGTTCACGTGGATGCAAATGCCATCTGAGAGCAAGAGAGAGCTGTGGAAAAAGAGTGGGGAGAGAAAGGAGGGAGGGAGGAAGAGAGAGGAAGAAGGAAAGAGAGGGAAGGAGGAGGGGGAGAAAGACAGAGACACTGGGGTGGGGAGGGAGAGAGAGGAGAGAGAGACAGAGAAACAGAGACACAGAAAGACACAGAAAGACCGAGACACACAGAGACAGTGAGGGAGGGAGTAGAGGAGAGGGAGGGAGAGGGAGAGACACAAAGACAGAGAGAGAGACAGACAGAGATACAGAGACACAGAGACAGGAGGGGAAGAGGGTTGGATTGTGTCCTTCCATCAGGCCCTGGCAAGGGTCCCCTTCTAGCTGTAATCGGCCAGCACTTTGGAGGCCCCATTCCTAAAGAAGTTGTCTCCTTGGGGCTGACTAAACCAGTGGCCCTGGGAATGGCATCCAGGGACCTCAGGTGCCAGATACCGATATTTTGTCATCGTCCGCCTTCATTTGAAGAAAATCCTGTTACCGGGGCCCTCCACTTCTTTATTAGAAATCGTCTCCCAAGAGCTATTGATGGCAATTGGATTGATTTTGGAAAAAGAGGTACAATCAAATCATCGTCCAGGAAGTTTATTTTTAAACCGGAGACTTGGGTTAGGAGCAAATTCAGGCCCCAGGAGCTGGCGGCAGGCAGGGCCAGCGACGTCTGGCTTTTTTCTAAAGGGGCTGTGCAGCCTCTGGCCAGCAGTGCAGCTTCTTCCTCAGAGAAGAGAGGGCTGACAGACCCTCACTAGTTTCCAGCTTTGGTAGGGCAAGTGAACGGAGGCCTTTAAGGCTCAGTTTCCTCACCTGCGAAATGACCGGGAGGGCGGGGGGAGTTCGAAGGCCCCGGGATCTGGCCCTGGACGGATTTTGGCGACCCAGTCCCGTCCCTTCCCGAGCCCCAAGGGAGGGATGCAGCCTGCGGGGCGCCCCCAGGCTGCTCACAGTTCCCCGGTTTTATTTCTTTGTTCGGAGGCTTTCCTCACCGCCTTTCTAAATGGGAACGCCAGCCAGCATCCAAGGCTGTTTGCAAATTCCCTGTTACGGCCTCCCGGCTCCGGGCGCCAGGGCCCCTACCTTCCTCTAAGCCTCCTTCTGTTTGGGAATGGCACCCCCACGTCCGCGCAGCGACGCTCTTCATCGCAATGATTTAGAAACAGCC